TTACAAAGATTAAGCAACCCTAAAGAGGCGAGATAAAGGCAGCATTAATAAAGGGTTTTTCATTAAGGGTGTCCCAAAATACCATTATGTTTAAAAAAAATATTTCCCTGTTGCATACATTTCGCTGAAATTCATAAATAATTTAATCTATGTTATTTTCCATTATTATTTTCTATTAAGGTAATTCTGAAAAAGTTCAAGGGCGTTAAAAAGTTTATTTGGATACTCCTGTTATACAACCACTTAACTACAAATAGCTGATCGCATAATACAAAGTTGGAATTGAATATTATTATTTTGAAAACATTTATTTGCTTCATCAATTTTAAAATTTGGACAGCCTATGGGCTAAATGAAAATCCATTTATTATCACTGTTAACAAAATAAACCTTTTTTGCTCCTTACGAGACATTCCGAAGCACTATAGAGAATCAGCAGCTACGTCGAGTGTTTAATTGAAATTTGTTATTTGTTTGTACCGTATTACAAATTATTTTTTGGAGAACACTCGAAGCTGTCGCGTCGCGTGATAAGCTAAATGTCGATGACGTTAATTAAATTTCCGAGCAATTAAACATTAGAACTTGTAGGACAGAAAAACGAAAATAGAACGCATTATTAGATTTTTTTGCGTTTTGATTAACTTTTTCTACTTCAACCTTTAAAACGCCCATATTCGTACATGTTTCCGTGACACAAAGTTTTTTTTGAAGTTAGTGGCTCTTGGGTTTTAAGTCACGGGCTGAAGTAAGCTAGCTTAAGTTAGTTGACAGTTGTAAAATGTCATACAATCGTCAAAAAAAGTGCCTTTGTAAAATAATTCCAAAATGGGAAATTATTATAGGTATTATATCAATACAAAACTACGAAATTATTAAATAGTTTCTGGCGCCAAACTATAGTAATTGGCGATACCGCTACTATAATAATTTCAGGTGTAGGTACCCATAAAATCATCCTCTTCATTTGAACTGTAAAAAACTGCTACGACATACATATATAGGATTTAAACGGTTGCTAGTCCATTTTCGATTTTTTTAAACTGACACTTACATTCTGAAAGCACGTAAAATTGATTCTTACTTTGGCTACTGTAGTTTTGTATAGATGTTGCTCTATACAAATATTTAAATCAATTAGTAATACATTATTTTGTGTAATAATATTTGCCATTTTATTAAACACTCGCACGCAATTACAAATAGTGACTAAAATGACGTTTATCACACTTGATATATAATATACAATTACGATAACGCTTTCGATTTATTATTATTTAAGTATTGAATTTTACGGTATAACCGTATAAAGTAATCAAGTTTTGTAAGGCAAAAATAAAACCTTTTCCGAATATTTTGCCGCGAACAAAACTTCTAATAATATAAAAGTTTATGAAGAAAATACCCTTAAACCTTTAAACTTAAATAAGATAACTAAACTAATATCAAACAAAACCTAAACAAATAGGATTAACTAGAAAAGAACAATATTAATTTAGGAATATTAACTTGGTCCTTAAAGCTCCTTCAAATGTAAATTTCTGGTAAATGCAGTATAATTTCCAAGTTTGAAACATAATTAAAATGTTGATTGTAAATAATAATTACAAACAAAAGGGGGTGCGAAATTTACATAACATAACAAGACATCAAAATCGTCGTGTTATTACAATGGGCTTGAATATTTATCGCGTTTAATCTTGAAACAACGGCATGCTCACTTGGAAAATTGTCAAAAGAAAAAAGAGACCCTTATATGCTTTTTCGAAGGAAAGGAAACTAATTTTCTTTTTATTAACCTCACTCAACAAATAGAACGACTCTCGACTTGCCGTAATTATAACATTAACCTTTTCGTCCGCCACTACAAACCAGCTAAAATTTTATTACTTTGTAGCATCCTTGCAATATTTAAGGGCCAGAAAATTCTGACAAAAAGTAAGGGTAGGTTTACAAATTATTAAAAAAGAAATGTACATTCGGTGCCACTATTTTTTTCTAATGTATTTTGACCTGCTAAGAAGATTAATTTAGTATAAATACTAATGAAACACCCTTTATATTAAGGAGGCAAGATTGTATTTATAAAAGTGCTAGCAAGACATTATTGACTCTTCATAAGCAATATAAAAAAATCGTTAATTTATTTCTTAAGATAAAATGCTCGAATAATAAAAGAAAAAGTTTTAAGTATAAATTAATTTTAAAACTTCAACAATATTGTTTATTATTTTTAAAACGGGAAATCTATTCCTGGACACTTCTTATAATGTGATAAATGCGAGTTAAATTTTTATTGTTATAACAATACAAATTTAACTCGTATTTATCACATTATAAGAAGTGTAAAGGAATAGATTTCCCGTTTTAAAAAATAATAAACAATATTGTTGAAGTTTTAAAATTAATTTATTAATGCAAATATACACACAAAATACCTAGGCGGGTTTTGTTTAAAAAATCATTTTATCGAGGTACCTTCCGTTTCCGCCAAAACACTCTCTTTATGTGGTTAATAACTGCTAAACACATCTCAGGTGGAATTCTATTAATTTCTTCCAGTATTTTTTGTTTTAAATCTTGCAAATGTCTATCAACATAAACTTTACTCTTAAGGTATCCCTACAAAAAAGTCAAATGAGTGAGAACTGGAGACCTTGCTGGCCAGTTTAGGTCTCCAAGCTGAAACCGTGTTTTGACTAAAATGGAAGGCACTTCGACAATATGATTTCTAAAACATAAAATTCGCATATATTGTGTGCCTTTTTGCAGTCATAAATAAATTTTTAAACTATATCATATCCCTGCACATTCGCCATTTTTCACATTATAGCACAAATACTTACAAAAATGGCGAATGCGCCGGGATGGATCCGTATTTAACTTTTCCAAAAGCCATATTAAATTTTTAAACCTATTGAAAGCATAATATAAACCCCAAACTCGGCATTTTTATCAAGTTGGGAAATCAGTTTGAATTGAAAAACTTTTCAGCCTAATACTTAAAAGCGGTCAAGTTGACACAAGTGGCAAACATAAGAGAACCAATAATTATAATTTCGTAGGAAAATAAAAATGATAAAAATTATGTTTTGTAGTCGGTGCATTTAGAAATTTACGATATTGTCACCTGTCATGGACAGAAGACTACTGTCAGTGAGATTTAATTGAATGTCGACATAAAAAAACCCAGTCATATCTATTCCTATTTTTATATGCTTTTAAACATTAAATTGTCTTTAAGCAATAATATTAGTCTTAAACGGTGTTATTGAATTTAAAAAACACTATTTGTTCAGCAATTTATTCATAGATATTCTCCCAGACCGAATTCGATGAACCAAATTTAGAATCCAATTTTTTTTAAACGATGTCAATGAAATTTAAATAACTTGCACAAAGGTCGAAAGGTCTTGAATGTCAACTTTAAATTCATCTAAATTATCAAATTTATGTCTTTTAATTCTTGTTGAAATAATTTTGCAAAAATAAACTTGAAAACTTTAAAATGCTTCAAAACATTAAAAACCCTTACTATTTAAATCATGTAACTAATTAACCTGGGAACATAAGATTTGACGCATTATTTAACTGATTAAACTTGAAGTTTAATTTAATTATAATTATACAAAGTTAACTTTAATTTTCCAACTTCGCAGTCTAAAAGTCAAACTTAGCTTAGCTTATTAGCAGGTAAGAATAAATAATAAAATTAGCGAACGCCGAAAAACAAAGTAAAGAAAGGCTAATTGTAAATTCAATTCAAACAGAAAGTTCTACCTGCGAGTAACCGAAAACTTTAACGTGGTCGCAACGTTTAATCGACTAAATTTCAAGCAAATTAATTAACTGCTTGTTTGTCGTTCGAATAAAGAGCTGCTTGTTTGACTTTTTCAAACAAACAAAATAAGCAACATTTGGATTAACATTAAAAGATTTCAATCGTATGATTCCACTCGAAATCTTTCATTACTTTTTTGAAAATATTATTCAATTTCCTTTGCCTGTATATAAAACTGCCATCGTCTATACAAAAGAATAATAAATCAAGGTAAATACATCTTCTGTTTTGATTTTGTCGAAAATTAAATATTAAACACTTGGTCCATGTCGAAGGCAATACAATTTAATTATTTATCGTTTCGCCTTATTATTATTCTGCCCAGTCAAGTCAATAATGCTAAACATTTATCGGCCATTCCAAGCCCATGGACAGGACACATCAGAAACATGTCTAAATATATTCTTGTTACTTCCTTAAGTTTACTTATTTTTTCTACGAGTATTTATGAGAAGTATTAGCCAAATTTGGCTAATACTTCTCATAAATACTCGTAGAAAAAATAAGTAAACTTAAGGAAGTAACAAGAATATATTTAGACATGTTTCTGATGTGTCCTGTCCATGGGCTTGGAATGGCCGTTATTGTGAAAACAGTACCATTTCAAGTACTATTTAAGCTCCAAATTAAAATACTTTTGTGCCACATTGCAAATTCAAAATTGAAGAAATCTTCATAATGTTCATGTTTTAACTCTAAATATTAAAAAAAAAATGGTTGGCATTGCTTTACAGTTTTTCATTTTATTGACGCGTCTTGGCATCGATTGGGTCTCACTTTTTTTGTACGCAGTATATATTAGGTGGAATCCGGCATAAGCTCCAGAATACGGAAATTTGATTTGGATCGGATAAACCTGTTGATTGCATTAGCTGATTCCGTTTTCCAATCAGATTACTGCAATCCTGTTTGGCTCCAAGTCTAGAAAATTTACAAAACAAAAAAAATATAATTTTATTAAAATGTAATATTTTTGTTCCAGGTTACTTTCCGCTGCCATCGATCTACTGCCTCGCATGGATTTGTCTGGATGTTTTGTTTTGTACGGCATCCATTATGCATCTGTGCACTATAAGCGTAGATAGGTATCTATCGCTAAGATATCCGATGAAATTTGGAAGAAACAAATCAAGGAGGAGAGTCACTCTTAAAATAGTTTTTGTATGGCTTATGTCAATAGCGATGAGTTTGCCGCTTAGTCTTATGTACTCCAAAGTAAGTTTTATTGCTTTTATAGCCTTTTTATACATTATTTGTTTTTCGATAGTCTAGCATATTCTTAACGGAATTAAACTCTTGTTTACTTGATCTAAAAAAATTTACAGCGTAATCATGAATGCATAAGAAAGCTAAAAAGTGCCATGCACAGCGAAAAGCCGGGCGCGCTCGATACTCCCGGCCATTTTAATTGAAATTTTACGGATGAGCGGGCTAAAACGTGAAAATTTAACGTTTTGTCGGCTCACGGCATTAGAAATCGTTTAACGCTCTCTTAAGCTTTGCAATAATTTGCCCAATGTAACGTGGCCAATAAATTAATTTTCAACACTGGATTAAATTTGTCACGTAAGTTTGAACCTCAGTACAAATAACACAGTGCAACAGCAAAAAAAATGATGGGGTTCTGAAAGTGGTTTTCGTTTCTCCTATCCAAAGAATGCCTTTTTGCGTTTACAGAATGTTTAGATTGATTCAGGTTTTTTTTTATATATCGATTTTAAGTTTTATTAATTTTGGAACCCGAAAAACCGTTATTTATTCATTTAAACCAATTAACTGGTAGGAAATTGTTGTCATAACAATAAATTAAAAAGAAATAATAAAAAATAAAACAAAAATTAAAAATGGGTGTAAACATGTCACTATAAGTACATTTGCTCCATGCACCTCTTGACCTCTTCGAAAATCAGCTGTCCACCGAATCAGAAGAGCATCAAACAATAATGGAAATGGAAAATCGTTATAGAGGAAATAGGTTTGATTCGATGATGGCAGATTTTTGTTGGTCTATGGAAATGGAAATTTTGGCATAAAATTATAAATAAAATTTGTTATATCTTTTATGTTGATTCATTCTATTTGTTAAATAATTAATATAATAATAATTACCATAATTATTATTATGGGAAAAGCGAAAGAACTAAGAAATTGCACTACAACATATTAAATCCAGAAAAAGGTTAAATTTTTAAAAAAAATTGCGTTTTATTGTTCTATTATTTTTTTCTTTATTTGATTGTTATTACTTTATAAAACAATATACAAAACCAAGAATTTTTTTATGTACTAATTATTTATTATTTTAGGATATTTCGGGATCCAGAATTACTAAAACTTTAAATTGGTATTAAAAAAAACCAGAATCAATCTAAACATTCTGTAAACGCTATAATTCATGATTTTGATTATAGAAACCGAAAATACTTTCAGAACCCCATCATCTTAATTTTTTCCGAAAATGTTGCACAGTGTAATAAATCACATTTATGTGAGAAAACATTTTTTTGAGTTTCACGGATTTATTTTAATTGTTCGCCAACACAGTTGCTTTTTCAGAAATAATTAGTGAAACTCAAAAAACAGTGTTTTTTTACCTAGTCAAACATTACTGACATGGAGTTTCAGGTCGAAACAATAAAATATTTTAGATTGTATCTTATTAAAAAAAATTATGTTTAGGATCAGGATTCGTTAATAATAGACGGAACCTGTCAAATTCCCGACCCGCTGTACAAGTTCATCGGGTCCATCGTTTGCTTTTACATACCGCTGCTGGTTATGCTGGTGACATACGCGCTGACCGTCAACCTTTTGGCCAATCAGAAGCAGAACCTCGGCAAGCCGGACTGGTCCAGCAACTGGATGGGTGGACCCACGTCCACACCCTTGGGTATAATTTAATTTATATTTTAATGTTCAGTTTTTATTTAAGGATTTTAAAATTTCAACAATAAATCATAGCTATAGATAACAAAGAAATTTAAAAAAAAATCGACTAACTAAAATATAATTATTTTTTTAATTTATATATTTATTTGTTTTGACAATAAAACAAATTTTTACTTTATTGGTATACTTGAAAAAGGACAACTTTGGTGATATGTTAAACAAATATTAGAAATATTCCCCAAAACCAAAACAAAACACAAAGTGCTTAAAGTACTTTTCGCCAACGATGTTGGCATCTTCAGAGACGAAATGTAACTAAATCTACCATATTTATACTAATTATAAGCTAAGCTTGGCTGAACTGTGGACGGACGGCAGTTTACTAAAAACCGTGGACCGTAACCGCTTAAGTGAACACGTAAAGAGAAACAAACAAAATAATGTATACAAACTAGAGTTGGGTACCGGTCTGTTATCGCTATTTAAATTATAATTATTATTATTATTATTAAGGAAGTTGAGAAACCAAGCCTACTGGATAGTTATGAAAGTTTATAGATCTATAAGAATAGAAATAAATTTTTAAATAGCGATAACGGACCGGTACCCAACTTTAGTTTGTATACATTATTTTGTTAGTTTTTCTTTACGTGTTCACTGAAGTTGTTACAGTCCAAGATTTAGTAAACTGTGTCCGTTCACGATAATAATAATAATAATAATCGCAAATGCACCTGGATATTCTAAGCTAGGGTAAACGAAATTAGTTTCAAGACTTTTCAAAACATTTTCCTGTCGCTATTTTAAATGGTTAAGAAATCATACATAAGTTCAGTGTATTTGCGTGAAATAATTCACCGTGACAGTGTTCCCTTTAAAACTTTGACGCGTAAACCCAAACGGGTCGTACATCAAATGTCGCTTCGACTTCAGCTGAGCGCTGTCGCTAAACTTTCCGGTTGGTTTCGTGGAGAATGGATATTTCCCAAACTTGCACACACACACGCCGACTTAAACTTTAAAAGCATAAGCTTTTATTGTAGCTTTAGCAGAATTAATTAGTAATCTGTTTTCACTTAATCGTATTTAGTCGATAATCTTGTGCGCTATTAAAGCGCATTATCCGCATAATAGGGGACTCGAGAAAGCACAATGTAAACTCTAGCAAGCAGAAATTGCCTTAAAATCTTGCCTTTGCAGATAATGCAATAACGACGTGGATTATCATAGAATAATTTTTACAGAGCGCCGCTGCACGTGGAGGAAACTCCTGAACGCTACCAGCAGGGGCAAACTCAATACGCCGCAACATGCTCATTCAGCAGCTTCCACGGATACAGAGTTAACTACCATCGACACACACGAGCTTTGGATTCAAGAGTCCGAACCCACTCCTTGTACTATGTCTGCATTGGGACAATTCGGAGCAGAGATGCTTAAGCTTTCCAGAGGACTGGAAGCGGCTTCAAATATGTCCACAAGCAACGCTTCGCCAAAAAGTACTGGTGGAAATACCATTAAAATTGGGTAAGAAAATAATATCTTTAAATAAAACATTTATAGTAATTTCAAAACCTTACCATTTAATAATTTTCTCCATTACTCTAAAAAATCGTTAAACGAGAATAATAGTCAAAATGAATGTTTTCGGTTGATTTCGACGGTTAATAAATCTAATTTTCCCGCGTAACCAAATGACGTGCTAAAAATGAAACATCGAAAAAAGCAAACAACCCTACTGTTCAATACCGGCTGTATTATGATTGAAACACTCGTTAACCCATCGATTATAAGGTACATTTTCGAAATTTACTGCTGTGGTAATTGTTGGTCTAAAAAAACGCATCGGTCTGCGAAAGCAACAGTAACTGAACAGCATTAAACAGTTTAAAATCCCTATAACGAACTGTTTTATTGAGTTATGGGGAAAAAAGTGTGATTCGGTTAAAAAAATCCATAATACTGAGATACTTAGGTATATGATGAGAAATTGTTTTAGAAATATAAATTACTCCACTGTTATATTCTGACGGAAACTTTCTCAATCTTTAAAAAATATACTATTATATGATATTATATTATAAAGGTACATATTAGGGTGTTTCAAAATAAGGCAATATTTTTTTTCTTCCAATTCATGTGATATTCTCGTCACTTTCTGTCAAAATTTGAGCTCTTAATATTTTAAAAGGTCCATCATCGAATGTAAAGTTGATTTGATTTAACATGGAAAAATAATTGTTTAAGATTTATTTCGCCTGAATGCTATGTAGAACTTTTTTTTTGTTGATAAATTATCTACAAAAAATCTTACAGTCCAGTTTGTAGATTCTACTCTTTCTTTTTTATTAATGTTGAAACGTATAAATTTAACAAACAATGATATTTTTACATTTAGCGGCTAAAGTACTAATCGTAGAAGAAAAAGTTAATTAGCAATTTTGAAGATCTTTTAATGCTCTACAAATTTGTAGAGCAAACAATTTTTTTTTTCACCTACAGCTCAAAAGTAATGTAGATTCAACTGTTTCTTTTTTATTAACGCTGAAACGTATAAATTCTAAACAAAATTGATATTTTTACATTTAGCGGCTAAACTACTAATCGTATAAAAAAAACTTAATTAGCAATTTTGAAGATCTTTTAATGTTCTACAAATTCGTTTTAAACAATTTTTTTTACCACCTACAGTTAAAAGTTATAAGTGTCCAAAATCCTATTTTCATTATTCTGCATAATATATTATTATAATATTCACTGTGGAAAAAAAAGTTTAGGGACAATTTTGCAGGAAACTCGATGTTCTATAAATAACGTACCAAGATTCTTCAATACATGCAATTAATCGCTGAATTGAAGTTAAAATAGCTTAACTTTTATGATATTCTTAATTTCATGATCCAAATTTTGACTGCAAAAAAATTTTATACTTCGCATCAAAACAGTTTTGAAATACTGAAAATATTTTTTAAGGTTTAAAATTATTTTCAGTATATCAAAACTTTTTTGAAGCAAAGTATAAAATTTTATTTGCAAAAGCTGGATCATGAAATTAAGAATACCATAAAAGTTAAGCTATTTTAGCTTAAATTCAGCGATTAATTGAATGTGTTGAAGAATCTTGGTACGTTATTTATAGTGCTTCGAGTTTCCTGCAAAATTGTCCCTAAATTGTTTTTCCTGGAGTAAATATTATAATAATATATTATGCATAATCATGAAAATTGGATTTTAGACACTTGTAACTTTTAACTGTAGGTGGTAAAAAAAAATTGTTTAAAACGAATTTGTAGAACATTAAAAGATCTTCATAATTGCTACTTGACTTTTTTTTCTACGATTAGTAGTTTAGCCGCTAACTGTAAAAATATCAATTTTGTTTAGAATTTATACGTTTCAGCGTTAATAAAAAAAACTATTTTTCCTTGTTAAATCAATGGGAAAATTTTAAATTCGATGATGGACCTTTTAAAATTAATATTAAGAGCTCAAATTCTGACAGCATAAGTGACGAGAAATTCACATGTGTGAAACACCCTAATATTTATATATATATATATATATATATATATATATATAATATATACATTTTAAATAGTGGAGCAATTAATCCGAATGGAAATGGTAATTTCTCAGATGAACAGTTTTCTATCTTTTTAAATCTAAGCCAATTTTTCAATTAAATACGTATAAGAGATGTACAAATTCTTTAATATTAATATTTAAAAATAAATATAGCAGGAATTTAAAATCCGTAATTACAGCTTTTTTTAATTTAATTGTCATAATTTGTCATTTTGGATGTTATTATAAGCAACAGAAAAGTTGTTTACTTGTATCTACTAATTTTTTTTTAGCACAGGTATGGTTACAAGGACTTGATTAAATTGTCCATTAATCTTATTTAGCGGACTTAATTCTTGGAGGTCCTGTTCAACGTTTTGCGGCGTCGGGAGTGTTGCAATTGATATTCAGGCCGCCAAAACTTGTACACGGCGGCCGTCACCTCGGCGCGTAGCGACTTTGTGTTTTGATATTTCCGATTTTATTGCCTTGGCCTGCGAAAATCCTTAATTACTTGGTTACGGTTTCGGGGAATTCGTCATTTCGAAATTACCCTTATATTTTAATCCATTTATTTAATTGAAATTTGTAAGCAATTATTGTTATTTGTTTTTACATGAATTAAGAAAAAAAACTTTGATTTAAATTCAATAAATTTTTCATTTCAATATTTTTTATTCTTTTGTTTGGACAATAATTTCATTGATAAATCCAAAACTCATAACAAGTACTCAATTTTCCCCTTAGTACGAATTTTGATTTTTTTTACAATTAATTTAGATTTAAAAAATACCACTCTGTAGAAATGAACATCCATTTAATAAATTTGATTGTTTTTTATATTGCTTGACCTATTTTAATTAATTTTAAATATTTTTACAATTTAAATCATTACTATTTTTAAATTAAAATATCTAAAATTATGACGACAAAATAAGGTAATAAAGAAAATTATAATTAGAAGAAAACCACAATTGTATTTGTCACTAAATTGTTTTAAAGTCCAATAAAACATTGTAAGGATAAATATATAGTCCAATGTCAAACTATAACAAAGAAATATATCATCATATTATTATCCAGACAAAAAAAAACATTTTATACTTATCTCTTAACCTGTAATTCTTAGCATATTTTTTTAGTAAACTCGTAAAAAATAAATATAAAATGCATACGTAAAATCAAAAATGTTTTTTTCTATTTCCATACTTAAATTCTTTTATTAGACATTTTCTACATGTACTATAATAAGTTCTCTTTTGCACGGTACATATTTTTAACCAATAGTAATGGAATACCCGGCAATATTAACCAATGGAATCATGAGAAACACGACAATAATTTGTCAATATTAACTATTACCTTAATCATCTGACGATATAATATTTTTAAATTTTGACAAGTCACTGTTTATATAAAAAACGTTTAAACTTTAAATTTTTTTGAAGTTAAAATTAAGTAAAAAATCCGTAAAAAAGTACAAATATTGCAGAATTAAATTGTTTATTTTTTACTATATGATGATAGTCGTAGAAAAAATAGTATGTACAACTATCATTTAATGGGCTATTATAATTCTCTCTTATAATTCTCAGGCTCATGTCTTAATGTCAATAATTAAATGATCGTTGCATAACATAGGTACTAGTTTTATCTAACATCTATTTATGAGTAAGTAATAAAATACGAGTTTTAATTCAGAGAATCGGGCAGTCCTGTTAGCGGTGCCCACACATTCATCCATATACATACAGAAACACTATACAACTTTGGAGGATAGAGATCGGTTTCGGGTTTGCACGCAAACTTCCAATAAAATTTACGGCGTGTAATTAATACTGCGGCACCGTCGGGCCGACACGGCGAGTTGGCGTAGATACATCAATGGAAATATATCACACAACGACGCTTCGCGACGTTGCTAGTTCATTTTTTGGTACAAATGATTTGTGCACTGCCACGCCCAAAAGACCAAATTTTTTATTTACCTATGGATTTCCATTGAATAACGCCCGATGCCCAATTTTAATTGCATCGATAAATTTTGATTATAAGTTAGAATAAATAATTTACAAATATTTACTTTTCCAAATTTGCTCGTAGATAAAAACGTTTAATATTACGCCCACACAAAAGAAATCACCTTATAACTTTTTTGTAGATGAAAAAATCGGTTCTGTTTTTAAATAATGTTTATCTATATCCGGCTTTAACCCTTTTTAAGCGTATAACACCCATAAGCCTATAGAAACACTTCATATGTTTACGCAAGTTAAAAGTTAAATTATTATACACCGCCGTACAATAATGAAAATACATTAAAATTACATAAAAAGAGTGGTTCCATCTATCGCGTTTAGCTCGAAATCAGCAAAGAAAATGTAAACTTACAGGTCATTGTAGAATAAATTTATGTACATAACCTATAATATAAACATATGTCCAATTCAAACTTGACAAAATATCGCAAACTTGATAAATTCATTGTAAGGACTGAATTATTAAACGCTTGAAAAAAAAAGTATATACAACAAGGCAGAGAAAGCATATTAACTGCCTCGCTCAGATCTGCAGCCTCGGCAGCGAACACAGCTCGGCTTTAAATAAGCGCTTTTTCCGCCTGTTAGATAATGTATCATAATTGCTCTAAATACTCGGTAGTAGTCATTGAGATACAACTAATTTAGCCCAATCAGATAATTGCAAAATACTACTTTACGAGGCTAGTGATTCGTTGTTTATCACGTTTGTACCAATCATAAAATTCGAAATCCATCAAATCTATCTAACCTCACATTCTACTTTTAATAATTGTATGTTTTATTTATCGTTGACAAATAAAATTGTAACTTAAACCGATTGAAGATAAAATGTTGTATATAATTCAGGTCTTTTTGCCAAGAGCAGCCCTTATGGACAATGCTATACAAAGCCCCAAATATGCATTAACTCTGGCGGAGGCTACATTTACAAAAAAATTATAGCCTACGAAAATCGGGTCATTTAGGGCCACCTTGAATAAAATGTTATGGATGCACTCAAACACAATACTTGGTTTTTTGTTTAATGTATTTATATTTTAATTTGATTTATATTTGTTTTATTGCCTGCCATACACATTTTTTACTAAAACATTTATAAATGTCATTTCATGCGGACATGCATCAATAATTCAATGTGCAAAATAACGATTGGATTTAATTTTACCATTCAGTGTATCCGATTTTATGATGATATTAAATAAAACATTGCGTACAGTTTTTCCTTATGTAAAAAATTAAAATAAAATTTTTAGTTGATGACAAATAGTAATAGGGTTTTTCTTTTTAAATTATGTTATTAATTAAGATTAAAAAATACAATTTTATCGTATAATATTTTTTTTCTACTCCCAAATACACATTGACAAGTTGTGGCTTTACGGCGTTTTAGTGAAGGGCTGCCACAGGTTTTTAGTCACGGGCTGAAGTTAGTTTTAAGTTAGTTGACAGTATGACATCGTTAAAATAAAGTGCCTTTCTTGTAAAATAATACTAAATGTGAAAATTATTTTATTATCTCAATACAAAAATACAAAAGTATTAAATAGTTTCTCAACGCCAATATTTGAAAAGTTCGGGCACGGACTCCACTGTAAAGTGCTCATAAAACATTTTCTTTACTTTCACTGTAAAAAACTGTCCATTTTCAAGAAATACATTTCGATTTATAACCTTTATAATATGAGTTTATAAAATATAAAAAATTGACATTTGACGGTGACGCACAGATTCCCCTATTGTTTCATAGATGGCGCTCTATAAAAATATTTGATTTAAATCATTTTAAGATAATAATAAGTATTTGTCGAAAAAAAAAGTATAGTATGCACCTCGTTTATAAACTTATAAAGAAGGCGACTAAAATAACATTTTAAATTGGTAAAAAGTAAGGTTAACCATTTGACAGATGTCAGATTTTATTTATTTAATTTAGAAAATCATTTAATTATATACCTACTTATAATATTACACTTGAGATTAATAGCCTGCATTATCTCTCCTATAATAATATACTATAATCTTTATTAAATAATGACTTCAATTGTTAAAGGTCGGAAGACAGCTTGACAGATTCTCATTCATCCTTGCTGACCTCCGAACCGTCGCCATGGCAGCTGAAGCGCCGTAGAGCGTCGACGTTTCACGAGGGCGAATCGAGGGACGAAAGTCCGTCGCCAAGGTGGCGAAAAAGGACGAGCAGCTTTCAAGAAGTACGCTCGGAAGTTTCCTCCGAAGACGGAAGATCCGAAGCGACCGAAAGCAGAACTTTAGCGTTGCCACCGCCGTGCACGTGCCCTTATTTCGGAGAGAAAGGTGATAAGTCACCGACTCCGAAACCGGCCGAAGTAAGAATAGTGACTAGCGAAAGGTTAACTGGGAAAACTAGTTTGGATGTGGAAAAAACGGTTTCTCCTTTGGTGTCTCCAAGCAAAAAGGCTTTACTGAGTAGGAATAGAACTGATGGGGGAACTAATAATATTATGGTGACTTGGGAGTCAAGAAAAAGTCACAGAAGAGGTAAGTGATGCCCAAACATAGTACTATTTTCTCATAAGTTTGTGTATTTCCTAATAGGCTCCAGTTTTGGCAACACCAAGACAACGATGTTTAGCAACATGTCACCAGGGACTCAGCGCACTCCATTGCTGAAGCGTTCTGCAACCTTACGGCAAAACGGCCACGGTGGTGCTACCCTTGTCGACAGAAGTAAGAACCCGTCTTCACCCTGTCTTCTGCAGAGATACAACTACAACACAAACAGCTCAAATATCACGAGAAGCGTGAGGTCGCACCACAGCCGGAATTCCAGCGTGATCTCGAGAAACTCATCTCGGCACGGGCGCATTATTAGACTAGAACAAAAAGCGACGAAAGTGCTTGGTGTGGTGTTTTTCACTTTCGTGTTTCTTTGGGCTCCGTTTTTCATTCTAAACTTGGTGCCGCAGTTTTGTTCCGAGTGCGAGAAGAACCTGAGCAATTGGGTTATGCAGTTGGTGACGTGGTTGGGTTACGCGAGTTCAATGGTGAATCCCATATTCTACACGATATTCAATAAGGTGTTTCGACAAGCGTTCAAGAAAGTGTTGTTATGCAGATACAGAAAGACGACGTGGAGACCGCACAGGTGACAAGTGAAAGTACCAAAAACGAAAAATAATCATTCGATTGGTGTCAAATTATGAATAGAGAAAATTTGATAAATTATAATATCAGTGTATAATAATTCCTACCGTGTTATTATTTATTGGACGCACAACCATTCTTTTACCGTCCCAAATTAAACACTTTTACTTTCATTATACGAACCTGACCAGTAAATGCATGATAAAAAATCAAATAGAAATCTATACTTGAATCTGTTTGCTGGCTAAACACTCGTGTAAAAATTGTATTAAACGTGCCTATTAACGTTCTATCAACAAACCTTACGCGAAGGACAAAAAAATGTTTATTTAACACTTGTTTCCCATTACACGTTACAAAAAACTTCAAAGAATATTCGTTACCCTATGTTTATCCTATTATTCCTAAAGTATGTAAATAGTAAATGTATGTATATAGGTAATTTAAGATATGTAAAAATAAAAATCTTTGATTTTAATGACTGGCTTCCATTAAGAGATACTTGGAACAGTTGTTGTATAAACACAAAGACAATTACAAGTCTGAATGATGTAAATACAGTAGTAATAACTTTGTTATATTCTAGTGTTTGTTAACATTAGATTCATAACTACTGTATTCTAAAAATAATGGGGAGAGATAAACAGACTAAGAAAAAAAATGAAAAATTCTTTCTTTATGGAACCCAGTATTTTATATTTTGCTACGATTGCATGACAAAGAGTAGCATGTAAGGGGAAAGTGGATGATGATACTACGCACTGATTTCTTGTGATAATAAAAAACAAACTTTAGTTACTAAGAACAAACCGGCACATCAACCGAGTTTATTGGGGAAAAAATGCTTTTACTAATATAAAATTACCGTATAAAAGATAACATTTATATGTTGTGTACAAAGTAGTCTAATCTATGTTAATAAGATACCGTGTAAGATTAGATAATTAAAATAAATATTCCTTAATGTTTGTATAATTTATAACCTCTTAAAAATATCGAACACTAAATATTGTTTTATTCACTTCTACACTTCTACAGATTTGCGTGTTGCTTGTAATAAAAGAATCACGTAACCTTAATTAGGGACCGCAGAAGAGTTGTAATCTTTTAAAAGATCTATACGTTATATTAAAGTAGACTATGGTGTGTAACAGTACCTACGATTTTGCAATATCGATATTTTTAGAAGATGATTTCTATAATGATAAGGTTTACTTAATGAGGTATATAATAATAACGCATTTACATTCTTACATAAAAATGTCATTACATTTTTATTTAATGCATTCTGATTTATCCAAATATCTTTCAAACAGGCTATTTTTTCTTTTTTTGAAAAAGGAAGAAGTCTGATGGTGCCAAATCTAAAGAATATGGTGGGTGAGAAAGCATTTCGAAGCGTAAATCATGTATTTTTGGTGCAACAAAATTCTATGAATGAGCTGGAGCATTGTTTTGATAAAACAAACATTGTTACGTGCTAAATAAGGGCGTTTTTACCTTATTATGTAATTAATTGGTCTAACAATGATGCATAATATACGCCAGTTAATGTTATTTTCTTTTAGAGAGAATTATGCGCTGAGTACCTAAAATACAGTGGCCATAACTTTTCCAGCCGATGGTATAACTTCAGCCTTCTTCCGTGCAATTGAACCAGCTTCTACACAGGGTTTCAATGGATTTTCCGTCTCTGTCGTATAGTGATGAATGTAAGTCTTATCAACAGTTATGAAACAATAAAATCTCCTTCGATTGCGCTTTAACATGTTTAAAGATTCCTCAGAAATAGTCAAACGATTGCGATTTCGGTCCAACTTGTATACAGCTTTTTTATTTGTAAATTTTGAGATGTTTAACATGTCATCTATTTTACGCAACTTCACTCCACGCTACGTTGTAGCCTCTTTTGGACGACTAGATCGTCATTTATCTTTTGTGCTGGCACGATTTTTTTTTAAATTTATTCGCCAAAACACAAACGTTTTGTTTGTCGAATAAAAATCCTTCCATCTTATTCGAAAAATGAATGAGTCAAATTTACTAATTGGAAGTCATATTTGACTAAGTGTTATAGCTAAAAAGCAATCACTAACAATTAGTCAAATTTGTAGAATTCAATTTTAAAAATCACTATTGAACTACCGCACATGAGTAATTCTTTTATAAACCGAACACCTTTTGACCGACACATCTCAGATTTGGCTGAAACTTTTTTTACGGATTCTATGTCGAAAAATAAGAGATACGTGTCCAAGGAATTTTTTTTCTCTCGCATATTTTCGATAATACAAGCTATCGAAAATTTGAGAATAACGAGTTTTTTGGCTTGGAGACTCATTTTCAAAAATTTATAACTCTGGTTCTATTTGAGCTACAAACTTCTTTTTTTTTTCATTTTAAAGCTAAAGGACTGAATTTTTATAAAAAAAATATTTTTAATAAATATTATTAACAAATTCATATTGTTATTAACAATTTCATTGTTTAAATCAATTTTTAACAATGGCCCCCACCTCGTATTAAGTTTTTAGTATTTTTATCGTATTCTCCATCAAATTTTACATAAAAAACATGTTTTCAAAATATGGTACCTTTATTATTACTATTGTTAAAACATTAATTTGTATTGCGCGACACATAAAAAAACGGTTTTTTGTTAATAAAAAGAAAACTATAGCTCGGATCAAAAAAAGTCATATATAAAAGTTGTAAATAATAAAAAGATATACAATTTTTATTTTAACTACTTTTTTGACATAACCTCACTTTTCAAATAAATTGAAAAATTTCAATTTATTTGAAAAGTAAGGTTATGTCAAAAAATAAATAAAATAAAAATTGTAGATCTTTTTATTATCTACAACTTATATATTTGACTTTTTTTGATCCGAGCTATAGTTTTCTTTTTATTAACAAAAAACCGTTTTTTTATGTGTCGCGCAATACAAATTAATGTTTTAACAATAGTAATAATAAAGGTACCATATTTTGAAAACATGTTTTTTATGTAAAATTTGACGGAGAATACGATAAAAATAGTAAAAACTTAATACGAGGTGGGGGCCATTGTTAAAAATTGATTTAAACAATGAAATTGTTAATAACAATATGAATTTGTTAATAATAATTATTAAAAATATTTTTTTATCAAAATTCAGTCCTTTAGCTTTAAAATGAAAAAAAAAGAAGTTTGTAGCTCAAATAGAACCAGAGTTATAAATTTTTGAAAATGAGTCTCCAAGCCAAAAAACTCGTTATTCTCAAATTTTCGATAGCTTGTATTATCGAAAATATGCGAGAGAAAAAAAATTCCTCGGACACGTATCTCTTATTTTTCGACATAGAATCCGTAAAAAAAGTTTCATCCAAATCTGAGATGTGTCGGTCAAAAAGTGTTCGGTTTGTAAAAGAATTACCCACATTTATAAATTTGTTAATAATATTTTAAAGATAAATATCTTTTTTGGGTATATAATAATCTAAACTATGCATTAGGGTGAGCCAAAAAAACTAACCTATCGGATTTATGGGTTAAAATGAACCTACATACCGAGCAAAACTGCAGTTTTAGTGATTTTTTACACTTTTCAAAGCTTTCAAACATACGAATTTTTGAATTAAAAAAAATAATCCTGGGATTCTTTGGGAAATTTTATGCTCTACAAGAATCCGCGACGTAAAAAATTTTATCTCAAACGGTTCAAAAGTTATAGTCTTTTTAATGAAAAAAGATTTTTTTACGTGTTATTTCAATGGAAAACTTAGAATGCTCACCGACACCTTTTAAAATTGACCAAAAAATTTTGCCTTGCAGGGAAATTTTTTTCTCGGTATGTAGGTTCATTTAAACCCATAAATCCGATAGGTTAGTTTTTTTGGCTCACCCTACTATGCATATTTGTGTTTGTTTTTATGAGCCGTTTAGCCACGTAGGCTCAATTTAACGCTACATAACAATAGGCTGCAAGAATTAAAAACGAATAAACGACGTTTTACTCTTAGGAACAGTAAAAGTTGGTAACTAATCTTAAATTAGTCAAACATTAACTGTTTAAATAGTAAAAAGTAACTATTTAAGTAAAAATTACTTTTTTATTTTAAGGTATTTTTTGGCGACATTATTCTCAAAAGTTCTCTCACTCGTCCATCGCAACTTGTCCTCGTGTTAGAAAATGAAGTATTTTAACATATTCGTTTTTTAATATACACTGCCCGTCATAATTAACGCATAATAAGTAAAACAATTTCAACTCTAAAACGCCTTTACCAATCTTTATGAAATTTTGTATAAAATACTTCAACTTATATCTCAGTTTACGTGTTCGAGGGTTTTTCGAGAAAATATTTTTAAAGCTCTTTTTTTTAATAATTAAAAAAACAATCGAAAAATAACTTAAAGGGAATTTTTTTTTTTTAAATAAAAAATATGTTGTTAAAGACCGTATTTTCGTTAGTTTACCCTGAAAATTTTGTACAAATCAAACGAACAGTAACGAAGATACAGCGCTTTAAATTCGGTAAAAATGACCCCTTTGTTATTATTTTGCTGAAAAGTGGCCATTTTTGACGACTTTGAAGCGCTGTATTTTCGTTATTTTTTATTTGATTTGTACAAAATTTTTAGGGTATACTAACAAACATACGGTCTTTCACAGCATATTTTTTATTTACTTAAAAATAATTTTCCCTATAAAAGTTTTTTTTCGAGCATTTATTATTATTAAATAAAAGGATATTTTCTCGAAAAACCGTTGAACACGTAAACTGAGATATAAGTTTTTATACAAAATTTTATAAAGATTGGTAAAGGCGTTTTAGAGTTGGATTTTTTTTACTTGTTATGCGTTAATTTTGACGCGCAGTCTACTATTAAGAAATACTTTAGCATTCGGCAATTCTTCGTAACTTTTAATAATAACATAAGTCATAGAATAATCTTGTACTATGCTGAAACAGCGTTGTAAGTGCCAGAAATGAGTTTTGCAGACAATCCAGAAAAACTGTTTGTCGTGTGTTGCTGTTAATAGTATATGCCAAACTATTACAAATAATATTATTAATGTCTAATAAGTAGCATATAGCGCGCAAGTGACGAGGTTATAAACGACGCCGCTTGCGAGTGTAATTGCTTTACATTTTGCGTAATATAAGGACTAAACTTTATCTACTACTGCTTTAATTTTTAAAAATTCATAACGAAACAATTGCATTTTTTGAATAAGATATTGACAGTTCTAGCAAATATTTGCACAAAGTCACCATTATAACGTTGGTTATGCAAAACCTTTGTTACATAACAGTGTACATTATGGTATATTTGCATGACAAGTTGACAGTACTGTTTATTACAATTTATGTATCAATAAAATTACAATTACACAAACAATACTTTAACTCTTTATTGTCTTTACCATACGGAAGATACAAACAAATAAAACATTATTCCAAGAGAATGCATCATTTTACCACATTCTGCACTTTCAGAATAGCATTCAATTTTCTACCATGGTATGCATAATCTACAAATTTAAAATAAAATATCGTAAAATTAAAAAAAAAATAACCTGGTTTTAAAGCGACGATATATTGCACACTCTTGCAATACTTGAAATCAGGTAGGATTCATGGCAAAATAAACACTGCACTGAAAGAAATATATGTTTGTTTTAGCAATGTATGTGGTAGTCCATATATGAAACATAAAATATATTTACCTTAACCATTTTTATATTTAGTTTTAACATATTATGTTAAAACTAAATATAATATATGTTTGTTTTAGCAATGTATGTGGTAGTCCATATATGAACCACATACATTGCTAAAACAAACATATATTTCTTTCAGTGTGTCAAATCTACTTGAGAGAACATTAAATCGATATTCGTTAATATTTTAAACATAAAATAATTTAAAACCCTATGCACAGGAAATTATGTATGTGGCGCGCACAGGCATAAGGAGTGCAAGTAGGTAGGTACATATTTTGCAGGAGTGATGTGCCGGCAACGCAAAGTCTGTTTCAGTCATGAGCCAAACCTAATCCAAATTTATGACCTGATTATGTTATAACGTGA